GCAGGCTCCTGACAAGGATAGGGTCTTTTTTTTTTTTTTTTTTTTTTACCATCTCTCTGATAAGCAGACTTAAATGTGAGTATTGGATTCATCTTATTTTACCTGGCTAGAAAGATGGGAATAATACTAAGGAAACATTATAGAAAGATGAATGCTGACAGTGGACACGTGGTGCTGCTGGAGCCTGGAAGGATGTAGCACTTGCTGAGAGCCCATGCTAGGACATAGCACTTAGAGAACCCATGCTGTGTCTCTGGCTGAAGTGTGGGAGCTGAAGCTGGCACACAAGAAGGGAATGGAAAGAAGAGTGAAATGTGGACGCTTATTTGAGGCAGGATTAAGGTGAACTGGTCTTTAGCATCAACTGTTAAATGAAGAGAGATATTTATTTATTTTTTATTTATTTATTTATTTTTTTCTACTGGGGATTGAATTCGGGTCCTTGGGCTTGCGAGGCAAATTGCAGAACCACTGAGTTAAATCCCCGGCCTGAGAAAGTATTGACATAAGGTTACCTAAATAATTTGAAATACTGAAAAATACAGAACTTGTAATCTCAGAATCCAGGAACAGCTTAATAACCTTCTGTGAATCTGTATAGATTACTGAGTAGTGTTTGTTACATGTTTTATATCTGAGCTTTATCAACTACCCTATTTCTCTATTTCTTGTCATAGCCAAGCTTTTAAATAACAGTTGCATTGTGATACAATTCACATACAACTCATTCTCTTAATGTATAAAACCCAGTTGTCTTCAGTATATGCAGAGTTGTACAACCATTACTACTACCTAACTTCAAAACATCTTCATCACCTTAAAAAGAAACACTATACCTATTAACATTTATCCTTCTTTCTCACCATGGACCCTGCCAGCACCATTCTCTGTAGATCTGTCTATTCTGGACATTTCATATACATAGAATAATACCAAAGATGACCTTTTGAGTGACTTCTTTTATGTAATGATAAATTGAATGCTTGAAGAGGTTGAGTTTAGAATAGTACTTGCTATAACACTTAAAGCTGGGTGTAGTGGTGCATGCCTATAATCCAAGTACTCTTCGAAGCTGAGGCAAGAGAATTGTAAGGTCAGTTCCAGCCTGGGCAACTTAATGACTTCATAAGACCTGTCTCAAAAATTAAAAAGGACTGGGGATGTGGCTTAGTATGAAGACTCTGGGTTCAATCCCTGGTACCACCAAAACAAACAAAAAAAGCCATGAGCAATTGAAACTTTTTAAAAGTTGAAAACATTGCTTTGCCCATAATAAGCATATTATTTTCCTTAGATAATCTTCAGAATTTTTTTTTAAAGCATCCTTGAACTGTCCTAACATTCATCATGAACCTTTTGGAGGCAAAGAGCAGTAAGAGTTGGGAACACATATTGAAGGAATGAATGTAATGCAACACAGAAATAGAATTGGCCACTTCTTGTAGGCATAAATGTTGCTAATAGTGTCTATTAAGGAAAAGTTAACCTCTCTCCCTTTTAGTGTAGGTGGTAAAATACTTGTCTTGATTTAGACATCTAGCAAACATTTACACAGTAGTTATTATGTGCTTGTAGAAATGTACTTCCTTTGACTTAAAAATGAGAAAATTTCCTTTCTCCCACTAGGTGTGACTGTGCCCCTCTGAGAAAGGGCTGGGGTCATGAGTAACCAAGGGTCCACTGCATACCTTTTTATCATGAAATGAGTCCCTGTGTAGCTTAACATTTTAAAATGTACAGATCAAATATGAAGCCCACTCATTAACAGATGACAAGACTTTGAGCAGTCACAGGAAAACCCAGACTTACTTTCTTTTTTTTGTTTGGTTTTTGAGACAGGGTCTCACTATGTAGTTGAGACTGACATGGAACTCACTATGTAGCCCAGGCTGGTCTTGAACTCACAACGATCCTCCTGCCTCAGCCTCCCTAGTGCTGGGATTATAGGTGTGCGCCACCACACCTGGCCCTAGACTTTCTAATTCTGTTAAATCAGCAAATGTCCCTTACAGATAAGATATGTGTAGGAGATTGAGGGAATTGAAGATGCTTGTGTTTCAGGAATAAAATAAATATAAAAATTTTTTAAATCTGAAGATTCTCAACCCAAATTTATTTTTTGGAATGCTTTTCCTTTAGCTTCTTTCCCTTCTATTTAATCTCCCCTTTGCAGTAGGTCCCAAGCTTTGGAAGAGGAATGTAGGAAAGGTACCCTGCTTGAATCCTCTAGTGTGGGAATATTGAGGAGTACTTTCTCCACTGTGCTGTTACACAGTTCCACTGTGGACTGTTACTGATCTCAGTAGCCTCCAGGAGCTTTTGGATTCCCTACCCCTACCCTACCCTACCCTACCCTACCCAGAGACATTTTGTTTATTCAACATGAAGAGACCTGTGGTGATCTAGGATGGAAGTTTCTCAGGCCAGAATGGTCTTGGGAAGTTTTGTGGGGAGAAGCACAGCCTTGGGGAGATAGACATGACAGAATCACAGGCAGGGAAAAGGTGGGCAGTGCCTGGCAGAGGACACAGCGGTTTGTCCTGGGCTAGGGCTTCACACATTTCATTCTCAATCACCACAGTTTTCATCTGAAAGGATTCCCTCAATTTGTGTCTTTAGGCATGCTATTTAATGTGTTTTGAAATTTAAATTAACATTAAGGAGGAGTGGAATTATTTTTTTGAGAAAGGGTGGAAAGATTGAAGAATTTTGACCTAAATAGTGATTTCCTAAAAGGAAGTTCCCAGAATTGTCTTTAGTTCCGAGAAGAGTCTTTAGGCTCTGTGGTCAGGATTTGAATGTCACTGCAGAATGGGGAAAACAACTTGAACTGTGCAACTCTGTGCAGCTGTTCATTAAGGAGAGGGAAGGTGGCACCCAGCTATGTGATGGTGTTGTGAGAATGTTTCCATGCAGGAACCCTGGGTGCTAGCAAAGGGCATTGATTCTTCTGCTCCTGTTCTCTGGAATGTGTTCTGCTAAGTTCTCAATTTTAGACATCAAAAAATTCTGAAAGCATTCTGTTAGAATTGTTTTTTGACTGTATTAGTGATGATATTAACATTTTAAAATTACCCATAATCCTGTGTCCCTTAACTGTTTTCACTGTAGTGTGTTCTAACCTTATATGCATACTTCCTTTGTAATGGCATTTTAAAATTTAAGATGGAACACAAAGTCCTAGAAGATTTTGTATAATTCCTTTCTTTTTTTTTTTAAGGTATGTGTTGGGTGGAGGAGCATTATGTATGGAACTTCTCACAAAACAGGTGACTGTTTTTCTTGTGGTTCACAATTTGCTGCCCCAGTATAGTGTTTTGATTGTGCATATAAAATGCTAAGTAGAAAAGTTCTTATATAGCATCTACTTTAAAAAAAACTTGTTTTTTAAATAATAAAAAAGCTACTTAAAGTAAACCCGTAAAATGACATTGTACTTGCTGCTGAATCCCTTGGTAGGGTAATTGAGTGTGTGGCTTAGAACATAGGATGGTTTTGTTTTTGTGAGATCCTGGCAGTGGTTCAGTTTTACTTTTCCCCTTATACTACAAACTTCTGAAATCTGACTTGCTTCTATTGAGTTTCTGCTTGCTGCTGTGTGAGGCTCTCCAGAGGACAGGATTGCTGCTGTGTTTAGAGATGGTTGCTTTTTTCTGCAGGGCTGGAGCAGCGCCTACTCCATAGAGTCAGTCATCATGCAGATCAACGCCACCTTAGTCAAAGGCAAAGCCAGAGTGCAGTTTGGAGCAAATAAGGTACTGTAAGAATGACACATCACTGTCAGACACATTTCATGTTCCTTATGAAGCTTCTGTCTTTGTTCTTTTTTAGACAGTTTGGTTCATTTTTATTTGGTTTGCTTTCTTTTTATAAAACTGAGTATAGAAAACATAAAAGTATAAAATCGAAATACTCATTGATAATCATTAATTCTTTTAGTTTTTATTATATTCACAAAGACAAACACCTCTATAGAATTTAAATTTATTATTGATGCGTATGCCCTAATAAATAAAAAATAATATGTACTTTGAGGTTTTCCCAAACTGGGGTCACACTGTAATAATTCTTAATATTCTGGACTCTACTCTAAATGTATATTTATTCTTTCAACCCTCTCGATACCCTAAACAATATGTACAATTATTGTCATCATTTTGTGAACAAGGAAACAATCACACACAGCTTAGATGACTTGTCTCAGTCACAAATGGCAGAGCAGGGTTTGGAACTAGATTGTCAGGTGTTAGTCTCTGCTCTTAACCACCAAGTTCTGAGGTTTATTCACATTAGTATCTGAGACACAGCTTTCCAGGTGGAATTGTAATTTTCAATAAGTGTTTTAATATGCAGTTGATATACTCAATTTCGTGTGTTTTTGAAAAGTATGTGATAGAAATCATTTTGTTCTAATGTTTTATTCTTAATTTGAATGTTTTCCCTGAAGTCCTTTGTAAATTTTGCATTAAATGTCTATTCAAACAGTATAAAATGTTTCTTGCCATATTGTACTTCAAATCATGAGTCTGCTGGTATCTTAACTTACATAGAAAAAGCAAACTATTGAAAAGGTTATTTTAAAAAATCTTTCATTTGGTACTCTTCACAGTTTCAGTAACTGTTTCTTTTCTTTTTTTTTTTTTTTTTTTTTTGGTACCGGGGATCAAACTCGGGTCCTTGCACTTGCAAGGCAGGCCACCGAACCGCTGAGCTAAATCCTGGAATAACTGTTTCTTTACAATGGAACAAAAATACCTTTTTTTTGTTACTACATGCTTGTAGTACATAGTGTTTATAGTCTTTGTGTGGAGTTGATACATGAACACAACACATTTTAATTCGTTTTTTCATCCCCTTTCACTCACCTCCCCCATCCCTTCATCCCTTTGCCATTTAAGATCTATCTCCCTATCTTTTATTTCACTCTTCATTTATAATTTGAGTTTCTCATATAAGATAAACCCTATGATATTTATTTCATTTAACATTAAAACCAGAAGTTAAGCAGTTCACTAATGTTCAATAATAACAATTAACTGTAGGATTTATTAACAGTATCTACACTGTATTTATGTTTTTATGGTTCTGGGGATGGGACTCAGACTTTCTGTCACTGAGCTACATCCTCACCCATTCCTTTTTATGTTTTATTTTGAGAAAGGGTCTACTTCAGTTGCCCAGACAGACCTCAAACTTAAAATCCTGCCTGAGCCTTCTCAATAGCTGGGATTATAGGTGTTTGCCATTGTGCCTGGCTATATTACAATTTTTATATTTTCAATGTGGCAGTAGGATGATTATGTAGTAGAATATGAAACATTTTTTTTTTTGAGACAGGGTCTCACCATATAGTTGAGACTGACCTGGAACTCCCTGTGTAGTACAGGCTGGTCTCGAACTCACAGTGATCCTCCTGCCTCAGCCTCCCAAGTGCTGGGATTATAGGCATGTGCCACCACACCCGGCTGAAACTTTTTTTAAATGACAAAATATATACTGAAATGCAGAATTTCTAAAGTTGGTAAAAGTACAAAAAACTAAAAATGTCATTTTAAATTTAGCTATAAATACATCAAAATATTATTAGCATGTTAGTCTTTTTACTGTTGTCTTCCTGGCATCTATTTATATATAGCATTTGATTTTAAATTTTAATAATTAAAAAAATTTCTGGTATGTTGTTTTTAAAAGAAAATATGAAAGGCTTAGGCCATAGATCACTTTGAGTAATTGAAAGGATATTTTACCAGTAATTCACTGTATAAATGTACTTCTGGGGACCACTAGATCTGTATTTGAAATAGAATTTAATAATATTTTCTTTTGAAAAAATGAAAGGACAGGAAAATTGTTATATATAGAGATACTCAGCCCCCCAAATCATCATCATCATCATCATCATCATCATCATCATCATCACCATCGTCATCACATTTGTATACACTTCCAAGTAAAATATTGCATATGACATTTGTAGGTACTGGCATGAAGTGAAACATAAATCATAGGTAAAATATGCCCTGTCTAGCACTAGCAGAAACATCACAGTTCATTAGCAAAATAAACCAGAAAATAGTGAGGTAAACAAATATTACAACGTGAAATGTACTGGTGATGAAACTGTAATAAAGTAGAATCACTGAAGCTTATAATTTTTTTTTATTGAGAAGTCTAGCTGTAAACATTCACATTTAGCATTGTCCCTCAAAACCCCACCAGTTTCATGAACAAAGATCATTTTTTGTGATTATACAATCATGAATAATTTCTTTGCCATGGCTCTTTTGTCTTGATGGGTTTCAGAATAAGATGTGAACTGTATTAAGTAGCTTTACTGATTTCTCCATTGTGGAGAGCTGCCAGTTCTAGAACCTCTTCATAGAGCAAATAATGATGTAGGCTTTTAGGAAGGGAAAACTCAAGGATAAAAATTGTCAGGTTACAAGTATTCTGGTTTCAGGCTGTACTGAATTTAAAAGAAAGACATGGTCTAAAGATGGAACAGCAGCAGTCGTAGAGCTCAAGAGGAGTTTGATGGACAGAGAGCATCTTCTCAACATTTGGTGGTGATCTTGTCCATTCAATCAGCTACACAGTGAAGACAGGGTCGTCACTGACTGAGTTTGTCCAGGACTGCACAGTAGAGTCAGTAGTTCAAAGCCAGCAAGCAGGAGATGCAGCAGCCTTGCCTTATGTATCACTTGTTCTTTAATTGCCTGATTTATAAATTCAGACATATGGTTCCATAGTGCTAATAGGCAACTTCCAAAAGTGGTGAAATACTAAAAATTTCTCATACTTCAGGCTGAATGATGTGCATTTAGCTGGCTCCATATTTCAAAAGAATATTCACAATACCAAAGAACCCACAGTCCTATTGGAAAGCTCTGCACATGGGAGAACTGATTCCAAAGACCAAGTACATCTGAGTGTCAGGACTCTGTCCATTTTGGAGAAGTAACTCCAGGAACTTTCCACATCCTCCAATACTGCTGAGTAAACAGGGCTCATTTTGGCCTAGCTTCACAGAGCTGGTTAATAAGTGGTATTAGTAAGTCCCAAGATTTTTGTATAGCCCATTGTGCAGTTGGATGATTGGGTAACTTTCCTCATTACAGGAAAGGTTACAATGTGCCCCATTAGACAGCAAAAGCTTCACACATTTTGTATGACCCTCTTGAGCAGCAGTGAACAAGGGAATAGCTTTGTCCAAGGCCTCACAATTGACATTTGCACCTGATGAAGTAAGTATGCTCAAGCCGTCTAAAAAGGCTGCCATACTGCACAGCCATAAATGGAGGTATAATTCCAAAGTCATCCTGGCATTCCTTGTTTTCTCTCCCTCTCTCTCTCTCTCTCTCTTTTTTTTTGTAAATTAATTTTATGATCTCAGTATTTTCCTGGAAAGAAACCCTGTGCAAGGAGTTCCATCTACACATAGAACGGGATCTACTGACATTTGCTCTGTGTCAAAACAACAGCCTTAACACATCTGCCCATTTTCAAAGGCTGAAACAATGGTGTGATTTCTTCTAAAGTGGTTGCCTTAGGATCTTTTCCAGCTCCTAAAACAGTCTGTGCTCTTCCAGTGTTCTTGACTTTCAGCAAGATGTAATGCACAGAAGCCCTCAAAGGTCTTGGTCTTAATGAAGTTTTCAGATGAATCTTTCAGAATTAATATCTGCAAACTTTCTATAGAACTGTGATAAGCTATTTTGTGAATTCCCATTATCAGCAACATCAATGCCTTGGCTCTTTTGAGCAGTTTCCTTAAGATTTTAAGATTGTTTTTCTTGGCAACAAGTCCCAGGGTAGAGCATGTGTCCAACTAAGCCTCTGTAAAATCCATTTTTTTTTTCACCAGTCAGCTTGCCAGGAGTCAGGTCCCAGAAGGCTGCCACATCTGAGCCTCTTCGCTGGGCCAAGGTGTTTGGAGACTAGAGTCAGGGTGGATAGCATCACAACCTCGATGTCTACTTACTTAGTTGGACAGTATTTTATGTCTCTTCCAGTTTTAGAATTTTATAATACCAGTATTTTTTGTTCTTTGTCATAGATCTCTTGGAATGAATTGGTGTCAATATAATTATTTTAAATCTTTGTATTTTCTATGATTTGTAGTTTTCTTGGCAAGTACATCCAGCCATTTTATACAGAATACTATTAGGCTGCTAAATATATTTGCATTGCTTAAAGGTAGATGAACGTGGAGTTAGGCAGTTTTGTTGCTGTTAGAATCTCATGGAATGTGCTTACATACACTAGGATGGCTGTCACCGGCGGTGGCTTTGGGATTGCCAGCCTGTGTGCTGTGGGTTGTTTTTGTGGCACATGACCATAGGTCTTAGAAGGTGAATTTGTTTAGTGAATAAGGAAATTTCCTCTCTCTTTTCTGCTTATTAAGAAATATCTATCAGTCAGGGAAGTGGAAACTTTGCATGATAAGGTTTCTTTTTCCTGGGTTCTAAACTCTGCAGCAAATAGTCTAAATGTTAACTTTAAAAACACTATAAAGAAAAGTGTTAAAGATGTGGAAAACACATGATATAGCAGAAGTTAAGACATATCAGCATGAGATCTAAAATTATGTCTTAGTGGAAGCTCAGTAAGAGATTATAAAATTGTATTTAAAAACTAGACAAATAGAAGGTAGGAACTATGGTAAGGTGATAGAAGCAAGTTACAACAGGTGTAAATAGACTAAAGAAACCACGTAGTTAGGCTAGCTTAATAAAACTGGCTGTTTTTAAGAAGTGTATTTAAAATGTAAGAATGCAAAATGATCAAAATGTGAGAATATATATATATATATATTTTTTTTTGGTACCGGGGATCAGACTTAGGTCCTTGCGCTTGCAAGGCAGGTGGTGGCACCTCTGAACTAAATCCCCAGCCCAAAAAGGTTTTTTTTTTTTTTTTTTTTTTTTTTTTAATAAAGGAGTGTAGGTGATAAGATATGTCAGCAGACACTGGCCAAAAACAGGTGATGCACCTTAATATCAAACAAAACACAAACTTGGAACAGAAAGTATTAGTGACAACTTATGAAAGTCTCAGTTAAACAGGAGGATACAGCAAGTTTTGCGCTTTATGTATCTATTAAAAAAGCTGCAAAATACAGAGAAAAAAATTATAAAACCACAGGGAGAAATGGAAAATCAACCAACAAAGCTAGAGATTTCAGCTTCATCCTGCTCATATTAATCAGAATATCAAAATGTATACTTGAATAACCATTTAACAGGCTCAAGATGATATCTGAGCAAATATAGAATCTATACCCGATACAGATGTTCATGCTTAAGATTGAGGTGTGCAGTTCAGACTTAGCACCCGTGGCTCAGACTTATGTCCTACTTCTTTTTGGTACAGTTCTGTACATCTTGTGGATAGAGCCTCAGTTTTTTTTGGTACAGTATACCTTGTTCAAATAGTACTGTAATTTTTGCTGATTGTACTGTACAGTACTGTAGTTTCATGTTGTTATACATTATGGTACTGCATAAGAGATATGCAAATAAAAGCAAAGTGAGTCGGACTTTCTTTTGATCATTTCTTTGTTTTGAATACTGTAATGTCCATACTATATACAATTCCTCACTAAAGTGACCAGTTCAGACCTCTACTCTAAAAAGCAGAAAAGAGACACATAATCTCTGATCCCAGTTAAATACAACTAACTATAGGTTAAGAACAGAGTCAGAAAACAAATACTCTGTTCTAGAATTTTTAGCCTCACAATGTTTACGTCAAACAGGGATTGGAGTTACAATGCAGAGTAACTGGACAATGGCCATAATATAATCAGCACCTCTCAGAAGCCAAAGAACACTCAGACCAGTGTTCACTGCCCTAAGAACCCTTATCACTAGAAAATCATAAAAGTGAATCAAGTCTCCATGTCATTGTTAGAAAAGAAATCATAGTCAAACTGAAGGAAAGCAGAGCGGAAAAATAATAAAGATGTAAGCAGAAACTGTGAGTTAGAAAATCAGAAAGATTTCAGTCCCACAGCAGGAAGGTAGTAGTACTGCCTTTAGTTAGATGAAATTTGGACATCTTACTGTGACAGCTGAGCATAGCGGGACCAACACTCTTATTCTGTCCTTGTGGTTAGAGAATGGGCACTGTGATTGGGAAGCTACTGTTTCATGATCATTTGGTATGTCAGTGACTATTTGTTCAGTCTGTTTCTGTCTTTAATTTTTGTCCTTTTTGTGAAAATTGTGAAAAACACTATAAGTTGAGGTGAGACTACTGAATGTTTTTAGTGTTTTAGTTTTTTAGATGCCTTATGGCAGTGCTGTACCACCTAGAAATGGAAGAGAAATAGAAAAAGGCTGTAATAAGCCTATGGAAATGGAAACCAAATGATGGTTTATGATCATATGGAAATGTGCTCAGCATCACTCAATAATAGAAATGCAAATTAAAAACCACCCTGAGAGTCTGTCCTCTACCTCTTGTCAGATATAACAAAAATTCTAAGTCTTCTGTCAGTGAGGCTGAGTGGAGGCCTCAGATGCTGGGAGCACCTGCAGGATGCTTGAGCAACATCTCTCAGTGACAGAGGCCAGAGGTGCTGTTGTCCTGCAGCTCAGCAGTTCTGTTACACATGTGTTGCCAGTGCTTTGCAAATGTATACAGACAGGGTTGCTCCTGTGTCAGTGGGCTGTACAGGATGCCCCTGTAAACCTAAGAAGGACACAAAAGAAAGCAGTAATAATGGGTAGCATGGGTAGAGTGAGCGAGATGAAGGTCTAGGTAGCTTGAGAACAGGTAAGAATGAGTTTGTATTTAGAATATTTTCATACAGTTTTTTATTTAATTTAAATATAGCAGTACTGGGGTCTGAACACTTGGCCTTTGTATTCAGCTAGATACCCTAGCCCTTTTTATTTTGCATTTTGAGACAGGGTCTTGCTAAGTTGCCCAAGTTGGGCCGGAACCTGGGGTCTTCCTGCCTCAGCCTTTCAGTGTGTTGGGATTAACAGGTGTTAATCATCCAGCTTCCTTCTGCCATGCAAATTTATTACTCAAACAATTTTGTGACATAATACAGTAGACAGTATATAACACGATGGGGAGCTCACAGAGGTAGTAGTTGAAGTTAAGGTGTAGGGCAGTTGTATTTTTAAGAACAAATTTCACCCTAGGCCTGGCTCCTTGAAGAAGACTGTTTTTTGTTGTTTAAAAGTTTTGTATTGTGTCATACAAACTGTCTTCATATACAAGTGCCTAAGGGAGCACTTCTCCTTTCTTCCCAAACATCGCAGTAGGGCCCATCTTTGCTAGTATATCAGAAAGTTAAAACAAATGTCCCCTTGAAGAAGACTATTTTTAACAAAAGTAGGCTCCTGGGTTGGGGATTTAGCTCAGCGGTTTGGTGGCCTGCCTTGCAAGCACAAGGACCAGAGTTCAATCCCCGGTACCAAAAAAACCAAACAAAAGTAGGCTCCTTTAGTAAATCATGACTTGGAGCCAATTGTGGACATTCTGTAGATTTCCAACTCAGAATCTCATTGATCTATATGTATAGTGCTTGAAGCTCAATGTTTTCTAACCTGAAAATATTCCACAGCTTGCTTTTTGGATACACGTTAAGGAGGAAGACTGTTTGAATTTCACTCATGTCCAAGGAGAATCCTTTAACTTGATCCATCCGTATGTAGGGGACTGCAAAACTATAAAGCTTTGTCTTTGTCAGGTGGTAGGAAGATTCAAGAGAAATAACTGAAATTTATAGATTTTTATTGGAGTACAATTTTGGTTTTGTTCTTTTGCAAAAAATGAAAAGTGAAGTTATTAAGTTAAAATTGTTTTAGAAGTGGAAGTACTGTTTTCCTGTGTACTTTGAAACACAACCACACATACATTTATAAGTTTATCATAATAATTTTCATCTAGTTAATTTTTATTTAAAATGTGTAATTCTCTTTCAGAATCAGTATAATCTAGCAAGAGCCCAACAGTCCTACAATTCCATTGTACAGATACATGAGAAAAATGGTACGTTTTATTCAATAAGTATTTATAAAGTTTTATATGTGTTATTTATACTGTTTTATTCTGTTTTTGCTTTAATATCTTATCAAGTTATCTTTGCCACAGTACAAACATGTAATTTGTGCTGTGTTCAAAATCTCTGGATGAATTATTAATAGTGAATTTTTTTTTTTTTAGTATTGGGAATTGAACTCAGGACCTTGTGCTTGTCAGGCAGGCATGGTAACACTGTGCTAAATCCCCAGCAACATTGCGATTTTTATAGATCTTTTGTTCTGCATACTTGCTTAGGGGCTGATCAGGTTCTGAGCAGATGGATAAATGAGTCACTGTGCCCACCTGAAAGGTGCCCTGGTAGGGTGGGAATGGGGTTACTGTGCACTGTCCTATGTCTAAAATTCTGTTAGAATTGAGTAAATGCAATAAGGGTCACAGCCAACCATGTGAGAAATGTCTTCAAATTACTTAGTGCTTCATGACCTTCACAATGAAGAGTATATCTTTTTAAAAACATTTTTCATTAGCTTTATTGGCCTTTAAATTCTGCTTATATTCCCAATGGACATGCTTTGGGGGTTTTGTCTTTACATCCTGAGGTATGAAACCTAGACCTGGAAGACCATTTTTAAGTGCCATTGGTGTCGCCCGCTAACTCTGTAGCCCTGAACAAATTTTCTTTTAGATTTAGTTTCCTGAATTGGCACAGTGTCAGGGTTCCCAAGCTGTGAAGGAAAGGAGGGGTGTACACAAAGCACTTTGTACCCAAGTGCTGATAGCAGAACACTCCTGTTGGGTGGGCGTGACCAGTGCCTTCTCCTCCAGTGTTCTGGGTTCCTGAAGGGATGTGTTTACAGCAAGTGCTGTTTCTTTTCCTAGAAATGTGTTAGTTTGCAACTTCAGGTTTATGTTTTGCACCCACTTTTATTTTAATGACAATCAACTTGTCACTTTTTTAGTGATTATTTCTGGAAGTAGTATTAACACCAAAATTTCATACAAGGAAGATGATGAAATTTGAAGAGACCTATGTATTGATAGTAATTTTTTCTGGTACACCATATTTGTGAAACTCAAAGGGGTCTATACACTACAGATAGTCCTCATTAAATGACCAAGTTCTAGTCTTGAGACTGGGTCGTTAAAATGGATTTGTTGCTAAATAACGAATTGTATATAGTTTGAACATTACCTAAGTCACAACAAAGAAGAGGTCAAAGGAAACTCCAACTTGATGACTTTGCTTTTATTTGCATAACTCTTACAATACTATAATTTATAATAACATAAAGCTGCAGTATTGTACTGTATAGTATAGTCAGCAACAATTATAGTACTGAACAAATAAGATGTACTGAACAATAAAAAGACATTGTATCAAAAAGGTATACAGAACTGTACAAAAAAGTATGGATGGTGTCCAAGTGGCAGGTTGTAAGTCTGAATAGTGTGCTTTAGTCATACATGTGGACACAGTTGTTAAATAGGTAGGTCGTTAAATGAGGAATGTCTGTACTACAGAACCATGTGTCTCAACACATTCTGGATATTCCAAATTTGGTATGTTCCGTTGACATTTCACTGCAAACAGCACTTAATCTGCCTTTACTATAGAGAGCAACTATCAAATTTTTCCCTCTCTTTCTATTTTTGGTGGTACTAGGGATTGAATCCAGGACCACTGCATTCCCAGCCTTTTTAAAATATATATTTGAGACAGGGTCTCGCTAAATTGTCCAGGCTGGGCTCAAATTTGTGATCCCTTGCTTCAGCCTCTCACATAGCTGGAATTATAGGTATATATCACCTTGCCCTGATCTTATTAAACATTACAACTTGTATGGAAAAATGCGTTCAGAAAATTCTGAGAGGGCAAGAGAGAGAGAAGGAAATGAGAGAATGTGTGTGTATGAAAGTTCAGCTATGATGAAAGTGCAATAGATTCAAAATCAGGAGGAATGGATTCTAATTTTTAAATTTTCAAAATTTTATGTCGTTTTAAATTTAAATTGACAGATAAAATTATGTGTGTTAGATTTAGAATCTAGCCTTATATTACCTCTTATATATAGCCTTATATTACCATTTTTTTAGTGAGAACACTTGGCCATCTCCTCTGAGTCCCTTTCTAGATTATAGTACAGCAGCACAGGCACTTATGGTACTGTAACATTGATTCTCCTGGGGCTTGTGCTGCCAGCTCGGGCCTTAGGCCTGGTCGCTTGGCCTCGGTGCCCTCCTTCCAGTTCATCAGTATTTTGCCTGGGGAATAGTTCTCAGTGAGGTTTACTTTCAGATAAGAAATTGATATGGAAATGTAGTATCAAGTCTGATGTGCTACACCATTATCTTTAGGGATTCCATTAATAGAGCTCATGTGAAAACCCAAGTACACTCTATTCACAGGAAATGCATATCCTTATATTGTGAATTTATCACAATGCTGTGTTAAGTGCAAGTTTAATTTCTACAGAAAATGTAAACACATTGCGGAGTAAACTATCTTAACTTTCTTTCTATTCTATTTCAGGCTGGTATACTCCTCCAAAAGAAGATGGCTAAATATGTTGACTCTGTGTAGCTGGATCAATGTTGCTTTAAAGAAAACCTTTCCAACATGCAGATGCCAGCTTTGAGTGCCGTGACAACCACATGGAGACCTTAACTCCTAGATCTTTAGTGGATAACCCGACACTGAGGCAGCCTCAGTTCTGGCCTTTCCGCCTGCTCATTGAGCAGCTTGGCCCTTACCGTATTCTTCCTGATCAATACACGCATTGCCACCCCTTGCCATCTCTTCCTTGAAAAGTGAAATCTTGAAGCAGGCGAGTCAGCATCAGGTCACTGAAGCTGCGATGTCACAGCTACTTCCCTGACATTGAGCGAATGGGTTACAAGGATTTGCTAAATACTGTTCCATTTAGAGCCAATAAAAGTTTAACCAATGTTCAATGTTGGTTTAGAAAATTTAGGTCTTCTAAATCCAACTTTCCCAGGTCTAAAACCATTTTATGGTATTGCCAAAATAATGTCCAGAAACCTGCTCATGAAGTTGTTAAAGTTGGTAATGGTTATGTGATGCCACGAATTGTCCTGAGCTCTTCTTTGTTAGCAGAGGCTCCCACTCCAGTGCTCTTTCCCTCAGGGTTGGGGGGGTGAGGCTTGCTGGGCTCACTGCTGCTTGTCCACTCAGTGTTTTTCATACAGAGGAGCCATGGGTAGAGCTGGAAAGTATTTAAAGTCATTTGACCTTTCCATTTATTAACGGGGTGTTGCAATTATTTGTGTAAGCTAATAAACTTATAAACTGACTGTCACAAAGACACACCATAAGCAGAAGTTACACAATTAAGCACAAAAAGATAATTAATTTGGAGACTTGACAAATTTTTGCTATACAGTAGTTATAACAATGGACTTTACATTAAAAGTTAATAGCTCTATGTATATTAATTCCTTTATAAAACCTGATCAAGTCAAGGTACTCTCCATCTTATTGCCTTACCTGAATCAGTCCTGTTTAGTAATTTTTTTATAAACCCAAGTTCGATTAAAAAAGTTCTAGCTGATAAGCACTTTTAAAAGGACTTCCAGAAGCACATTTTTCTGCACAAACCAGTTACAAATTTGAAAAGTTTTTCTTACGCATTTGCTTTAAGATTCAAGCACTTACCTTGGTACTCCTGAGACTGGCGCTTCTGCATTGCTGTGGGTATTTATTTTTGAGGTCTGGTTTTGGTGGAGAGGAGAGCAGGTAAAGGTTTTCTGGCATTCTGCTCCCTTGATTGCCAGTTGCTGAGTTCTTCAAAGCAATGAAGTTCTCTGAGCCTAAGGGTTAGCCCTAACCCTAACCCTTGACCTTGCTGTGGATGAGGGACAGCTAGCTCTGCAGCACAAGGGCTGCTCTTTTGGCATGCTTTGGTTTTTTTTTGTTTTTTTTTTTTTTTTTTGCAGATTTATTTGGCAATGTACAGTAAATTTTGTAAACTTGCATCAAGTTTATGAATAAAGAACCATTTAAAAATTGTTTTGTCACCTTTCCCACACCAGAGCTCTGTGCTTCAAGTCAGATGCTGCTGGCCTCTGGACTGGGTATGAAGGAGGGCAGCAGGTGCGGGAGGCTTCCCTGGGAGGTGTTCACACTGGGGTATGAGCGCTTCCTCCACCCCACCTTCATCTACACTCCTTGGGCTCCTCGGTGTACACTTAGATGCCTAGAACCACTTTACATATCCCTGGCCACTTTGTAGGACAGCCGAGGCCCAGCAGGCCCAGGATCCTCTACTGCTTAGATCTCCCCACCCCCGTTGCACTTGTGGCCTTAGCGTTGCATACCCGATGCCACCTTGGTGTTTTCTCCGTGATTCCGGGCCACCCTCACACTCTGAGGTTCCAGGGTCTTGTTTCCATAATTATGGAGCATTTTCATTCCCGTGAAAACAGTACATTGTCGAAGTGTAGGGCATTGTTTACATGTCTCTAGCGTTCACTGTGGCTCTTACAACGTTTTTACAACGCGGTCCTTAGTGCCGATGTCACTAGCGTAGAGGGCGACGACCCCCGCAGACCCCAGGGCCTCGTCAGGCCGGGCCGGGTGCCGAGGCGGCGCAGTGAGAGAGTAGCATCAGGAGTTCAGTCACCAAGCGCGGCGGAGCTCCTGAAGGAAGACACCCAACCCCGCCTCCGCCCAGG